TAGGCATTATCCTTTCTGGAAATAAGACAGGTGTTAAGATGTTCAAACACCAAATACATTCCTTGAAATAGATATCTTTTTGGTGTTTGAACATCTTAACACCTGTTTATTGCAAAAAAAGGGTAAGGCCTATTCTTATAAGCAATTATTATTCATGGAATGTTCAATTACTCAACCCATTTGAATACAAACAGGTTATTTTATTCCCACAAGTTGATGGAGTGGGTGAGCAGTGGCTTACAGGATAAGTCCTGAGCACAGCTAACATCAATGATAACTTAACTAGTCTAAGGTCTAGCTTTACCAACCTATACCGACCGGTGTGATGAAGTATGGTCAAACAACTGCTCATTACAGGAAGCAGTGGGGATGCCTTCATCTAACAGCAGATTGACGTAGCTCTATAAATTATATTTTTTATGATGTCCTCTGCCTCTTAATGGAATCATTTCAAATCTGAAAATGTACGAGAAACCCCATCACAACAGAAAATTATTTCAGGACAGACCAGCACACCTTTTATTTAACAACTCAATGACAACGCACTTGTCGTGAACTTGAGGTTCCGCTCATGCGTATAACCGAACTGCTGTAAATGCAATGCACATCTTAGTGTGTTGTTGTTAAACATATTCCCGTCCAGCCAGCATAAGTGGCTAAACATGATGTTGTTTGTATCTACAGAGCATCACGGGCCAGCGCGAGATATAAGGTAAACAACAGTGAGCCAAACAGAGAGCCAAATGAGTCAAAGAGCCAACGATAGGTAAACGAGTGGGAAGCACAGTCCAGCCCTCGACAACAACATACGCCATTCGCCACTAAGTACCGGTGACGTGACCACACCACTTGTGCCAGGCTAGGTGCACTTTGAGGCCGCGTGAAGTGCCGAAGGCTCGCTGGCAGGTCACTGGACAGGTGCAAGTGCCATGGGTTGAGTGACGACGATGATTTGCGGATAAATATTCTGATCAGAATCAGATCAGAATCAGAATATTTATACTGGAGGAATCCGATGAGCTGTAAAGCTCTTTTTCACAGATGTACAGTAGGGCGGGTCAAAACGTTACAATACAAAAATATGATAGGAGTGCAAAGTAGGGTGAACAAATCACTTAACAGCATACAAATACAGCTGAACTATTTTTTTTATAAATTACCCGGTAAAGCCCACTAAGGCGCTCACTTATTTTTTCAGAAGCGACCTGGCCGCAAATGACCGGACGTGCAGGCTTACGTCTAACGAATAGCACACGTGAATATAATGGCATTAAACTCCACAGCCACGCAGAGTGGCTTGCTGTGCGCTGCTGCAGCAGCAGCAATAATAATAGCTGCTGCCGCTAAAACGCGTGGATTTAATTCTCAAGGTTAGGCTGTTTCCATCAGCTCGCCGCGACGCCGGCAGAAGAGGAAGCAACTTGGCTACGAATGGCCACACCGCCAATGTCCTTTGGGCACGCCGGGGTTGGGGTAGCCCATGGCCGTTGTAAGTTGGGCACAGCGGTGCGGTTCTGGCGAGAGAGTTCCAAATCGTGTGAAACAATAAGAATAGGTTTTACCCTCTCTGGCAATAAAACAGGAGGTGTTCAGATGATCAAACACCAAAGATAAACCTTTTTCAAGGGATCATGTCTGCATTAACCACACGTACTTGTGTGGTGAACATGCAAACAAAACATGCATTGATAACACTGTGCAGCAATTTTGATTTAAAGCTTTCGTGACTGCGGGTATTCATTTTCTTGGTTCTATCGGTAAAGTGACGTTGAAGGGAAACAATAAAATAATATAATATATGAAACAATAAAATTCTCACGACGTTTCGACTGCAACACAAGCAGTCATCATCAGGTGTGAAAACCAACGGCAAGAACATTTGAAAGAAGTGGCGGTTTGTATTTATTTATTTTTAAACGTTAGCACCACGGATAGCGATTTGACAGTTTGTTTAGATTGACGAGTCCATCTTTGTTCGGAAAAGAGGAGGGGGGAGACGAAAAATTAATGTATGCTGTCAGAAAGCCACCGTAAGCGTGAACAATCAATTAAGACCCGAAATGGTTTATCAAATCCTTCCAATGATTGCTAAGCCAGAATCCATCTTTTCGGTAGTAAGTGTTAGTTCCTAATTGCTTATGCCCCAAAAGTACAGATAATGGCTATCATTCCCCACAAACTTTGCTTTTGTGACCAGGATATTGATATGTTGAAATGTACCTATTTTCCAGAACATTCCAGATAGATTCAGTGCTGAATAAACTTGGAGTAACTTCTAGAACATTCTTGAACTTTCCAGTCATATAAATAGTAGTAAAATTACAGGGGCCATAAGCCCACCAGTTCAGTTTAGTTCCAGCTGCCTAAGTGGACACATATTTGCATTTTTCTGAGATGGCATCAAGAGGCTGCAAGCATCCGTCAGACGCATTTTGCTGTGTCTGCGGCAAATGTATCAAGACAAGAGTGAAAAAGTACTCTGTGGAAGCATCTGCTAAGATGTGTGAGGCCGGCAAGGCATATTTCGGCATGCCAGTTGGGGATCAAGACAAACCCTGGGCACCTCATTTCACCTGCGAGCAATGCAAAAACAAACTCTGGAAGGTAAGAAGGACAATTGTTGCTCGGAATTTTATGTTATAAAATTTGTTTCAATTTTCAAATTGTTAAAGTTTTTTTAAATTTTAAAATGTTTTACAATTTTCAATATTATTGAAAAAATATATATCATATATGAAAAATGTTGTGAGAATCTCTTACACATTAGTCATGGGTGAAATAAATGTATTTTTGTAGAATGGTACAGAGGGGAAAAGAGAGCCATGAAGTTCGCTATCCCAATAACTTGGCGGGAACCAACTGACCACTCAAGCAACTTCTACTTCTGCATGGTGGACCCTTCCAAACGTCGGACTGGCAAGAATGGACCTGCTATCACGTATCCGGACCTTCCTTCATCCATCTCCCCGGTGCCACACTACCATGAGGTCCCCGTACCCACTCCTCCGGAGAGAGAGCAGCCCTCTTTAAAAGAGAGCAGCAAGTCAGAGAGCGAGGAAGACGATGTGGATCCAGATGACAATTTCAGAGGTGAAGCTGAGGAGAGAAACCCATACTACCCCAACCAAAAAGACCTGAACGACTTGATCAGAGATCTTGGTCTCACCAAGTCCAATGGTGAGCTTTTGACGTCTAGGCACAAGCAGTGGAACTTGTTGGATGAAAGTGTGCAAGTCGCAGATCAGAGGAAGCATCACCAACCTTTTTGCAGCTTCTTCACCCGTCCAGATGGGCTTGCTTCTGCCACAATGTGACCAGTCTGTTTGAGGCAATCGGAATCGCCTGTAACCAGAATGAGTGGCGCCTCTTCATTGACAGCTCATCCAGGAGCCTCAAAGCCATGCTGCTCCATAATGGTAACAAGTATCCGTCTCTTCCTCTGGCTCACTCGGTGAACCTCAAAGAGGATTACACCAGCATCAAGACCTTGCTGGACGCCTTGAAGTATGATGAGTACGGCTGGGAGGTCATCGGAGACTTCAAAATGGTGGCATTCCTGAAGGGTCTCCAAGGCGGTTTAACCAAGTTTCCCTGATATCTTTGCCTTTGGGACAGTAGGCACTACCACAGTCGGGACTGGCCACAGCAGACCAGGTTTTCTGTGGGGAGGAACAACGTCAAGTGGGAGCCACTGGTGGACCCCCGGAAGGTGCTGATGCCACCACTGCACATCAAATTGGGCCTTATGGAAAAAATTGTCAGAGCTGTAGATAAGGAGTCGGCAGCCTTCAAGTACCTTCAAGACTTCTTCCCTAAGCTGTCTGAGGCAAAGGTCAATGCCGGTGTCTTCGTCGGACCACAGATAAAGAAAATCATGGAGTGCAATGAATTCCCCAAGAAGCTCCACTAGTAAGGAGAAAGCGGCTTGGGACAGCTTTGTCGCAGTGGTTCGGGGCTTCATGGGCAATCACAAGGTTGAAAACTATGTGGAGCTGGTTGAGACCCTGGTGAAAAACTACAACACAATGGGCTGTTGGATGTCCCTCAAAGTCCATATCCTTGATGCTTATCTTGATAAATTCAAGGAGAACATGGGAGCGTACTCGGAGGAGAAAGGCGAGCGCTTCAACCAGGATATACTGGACTTTGTACCAAGGACAGTATAACGAGAACATGATGGGAGACTACATTTGGGAGCTGATTCGTAAAAGTGATTTACAGTAGAATCGTAAATCTCGAAAAATTATTCACTTCTAAATATTTTGTAGTCATTTTTGTATGATTATAGTATAAATACATGTTCATTTTGATTCATATTTTTTTCTGACTTTATATGAACGAAAAGACACAAATTCTCCCAAATTGAAAATAGGTAAATTTCAAAATATCACTGTCCTGGTCACAAAAGCAAAGTTTTTGGGGAATAATAGCCATTTTCTGTACTTTAAAGGCATAATCAATTAGGAACTAACACTTACTACCCAGGAACAAAAATTGTGTTACATCGTGTACTTATATATGGCATTGTTTTTTTAACCTGTTTGGCTTACACCAGAGACAGCCTTATTTAGGGCCTAGTCTCACCAGTGTCAACCCAGAGAACGCCGAACGTCTGGTGCAGACCAAACAGTTTCAAAGACAATGCGTATACTAACTATCAGAGCATGTTTGGCTTGCATGTTCACCATCATAACATTACGTGTGGTTAATGCAGACATTATTCCTTGCAGAGGGTTTCTAATCCCGCGTTTGAACATCTTAACGTCTTCCGTTTAATTTCCACGAAGGGTTAAACACCCCCTCTTATTCCTTCATACTTTGATACCGGCAATCACGAAATAAAGGTCCCATTTGGTTTCGAATCGCCCTTTCACTGCCATGGGCCCACCATCGTTGAAGGGCATTGGGGGGAGGGGCGAGCGGTGTAGGCGGGGCCTGCAATGCACCTGGGTGGAGCCAACTCGCCTCGCCCCCCTTGCCTTGACACACGGTGACACCCACACACACACACGCGCGTGTCCCTTCTGCACGGCGGTGGTGGTGTGGTGGTGGTGGTTGTTGTTTGTTGTTGGTGCTGTTGACGGTGCTGTGCTGTGCGGTGCGTACCGAGAGGTCCGTGCTCGGTATGTCGTGCCCCGTCGCGAATCAGCGTTCACCCGCGCAGGCCAGCGAGCTGCAAGGCGGATGCGAGCGTTGAAGAAAAATAAACGATTAACGAAGGGGGCCTGGAAGGCAAAGCGTCTTCGTATTCTTCTTCTTCCCGTCGTCATCATCAGTCATCATCCCTTCCTTCTTCTCGGTCTCTTGACGAACCGACGTGACGAGAAGATGCTGTCTCTTCTCAGAATTACGGCGGTGAGTCGCTCTTCGCCTCGCCGTAGTTTCGTGACGGTTCAAAGCGTGGTCCGGGCGTGGGCATGGGCGATGATGCTGCGTGCCCGGGACAATTGTGGTTCAGAACTGTTGTCAATTCTCGTGCCTTGTTGCACCTTTTGACGGTCGCGAGCGTGGTGGGGGGGGGGGACAGCTGTCTGTCACTGTGACACCGTCAGATTGTCTCACTGTGCCACCCACCGTGCCACCCACAGTGCCACCCCACCCCCCTCCACGCGTATGCAATGTTGCAAGGGTGTGCACGCTGTTCGTGAGACGTCTTTCGCCTTTTGCATGCCCACGATAAGCTGTTCGACGCGAGTGTTGTGTTGACGCGTAAACGGCTGTGTTGTTGTTGTTGTTGTTATCTTCCTCACCCTTTTGTGTTTTCTTGTCCACAAAGTCCTGCTGCCCTTGACACAACAATAATAATTGTGTCCTCGTCATGCTGTCGTTTTGACAGCACCCCAGTTAGCGCCGTGCAGTTTGATATACGCTGCAAAAATTGCCCCGGGTGGCTCGCATGGACATTCTCAGCGGTGACAATTTTATACCCCGTTGCTTCTGTTGTAAATTCCGAGCACTGTCTCTGGAAGGACCCACTCACTATCACGCCCAAGCACGTACTATCCTTGAGAAACGACCTTTACATGGGGAAATAATGGAAGGATATGCATTTAATATCCATACCCCCCCACCCTACAATACGGACATTGGTACAGTCCGCTGCAAAGTCTGAAGGCCATAGCAACAACGGCATGCACCTGCGACCTTTTGGAATGTTTCATTTTACGTGGAGGTTGCCGAAAGGGGGGGTGTTTCTTGAGACATTCACTTGCCACTTGGTTACGAGATGCAAAAACAACCATTGCGTCATCTTGTTTTCTCTCTTATGGTTCGGCTCCAGTAGCAATTCGGCAAGCTCTACGGTATATATAGTATATAGAGATATTTTCAGCGGATATCAGAATGTGGTCCTCTGAGCCATAGGCATTTTAGAAAAAATATGGCACAGAATTTCAAACTCGTCCTGTTGTTTCTGGCTATGTTAGGTTTCTTCAAAATGCACTTGGCTCGTCTCCGACTCAGATTTGTGTTGCCATTGGATATTTTTGTTATTGCCAGGAAGATTTACCGCGAGTGTGTGGTTAATTATTATTTTTTATAAGCCACTGCATTATAAACCGTGCAACTTAAATGTGATTCCAGGCCATGGCTAACATCACTGGCAAAGAGATATCGGAGCCAGACCTGACCTTCCCCATCTCTGCCTGTTACCAACTCTAGCTGACCAGCACGGCAAAGTATGATCGATGTTGTGTGGGGAAGCCTTCGTTCTGCAGCGGATTATGAATAATGATAATCTTGATTTTATGATGAGCCTTTTCATAATGAAATATCTCTAAACGCACTCCCAAGTTCCGTATAGGTAAAATCCAATCGAAATACAGTGAAAGCTGATGATCATAACTACACTCGCAAGATAGATAAAAGAAAAACAAACTACAATAAAAGGCGATAAATGTTTAACCTTTATCCAGAAAAGCCTTTCTGTGTCACAGAACTTATTTAGAATGGCACTGCATTAGAATGTTGAGCCAATTCTCGATAGCAGATACTAATACATGTAAAGTTTTTTCAAGGGTGGTTGAAATACAAACCCTATTGATCTTGCGGCAACAAAACAAGCCATGTATTCAGTCCACGCGCCAGTCGTATTGAATGTCACCAAGGTACATTCATGCAACTCGGCTTCATTTTTAATGGGGGACTATGCTCGCAGTCATGGATAATGGAGAAAACAAGATACTTTCCTTGGCTAATCAGATTAATTCAATACATTTATTATGTAACAAACTCAATAGGCAGCGAGAAAAGTACAGGAACACGTTGATAGTAAATTAATCTGTCTAAATATTGTAGTGTTTATATGTTCATATATTTGTTATACTGTGGTTACAAAATCTGGTTCATGTTTTTTTATTGGAATGAAAACTTACTTTTATCACAGAATGGAAACCAAAATTGGCAGTCACATTCCTGTTAGCCGTAAGTCAGCTACAAACCTCAATGAATGTCTCCAAATATGGTCGTTACTTTTACAATGTCAAGAACTCGCTCGTAAATTAACTTTGACCAGTACCAGAAAAAAAAACAAAGTCAAATGCCGGGCCTCTATATATGTATGTAGTTTTCATTGTAACTGCCAGGTACAAACAGTGTCCAGAGTGACACAGCCCTCCATCCATCTGTCTTATTTTGTCATTGTTTACAGGTTTCCTGACCTAACTCATGGTTATATTTAACTAGGAGGGAACACTTGATCGGGATGGGTGATTAGTTGTTACTGGACACCAAGAGCTGTCAGCCAACCAAATCTGCGAGCCAAAAAAAAATGGTAAAAATAGTTGCCCGTTCGCAAAGCCAACGTGTGGGATTGTGTGTACCACATATGCACAGTCATCTCCACAGCTAAACTCTAGACGCCAAGCATCGTAACTTCTAGATGGTTGTAATAAAAATACCTTCACGTTTTTTGAATTGCATCAAATCATTTCCCAGTGATATTTTTCAACAAACATCTCCTATGATAAGATCCACCCGCGACCTTAATACTAAATGCGCAAATGGCCCTGGGTAAAGGGTATTTTATTGCGTAGATTTAATGACAGAAATTTAGTATAACTTCTAATTTTTGCAGTGATGTAGGGGACGAAGATTGCTGATCCTATTTTCTGTGATGTCTGCTAATTTGTTAAAAAAAATTTTTTTTACAGCAAACAAACATTTCAGACCCTACAGCTCCCACAGATAAAATAGGAGTTGCGGGTAATAGTTCTGCTGTTTTGTGGAAATGTATAAGATGTTGCTTGTAAGAAACGGTTGAATTTGTTTTCTTGTGCCACATTTCCCTCGTGTCCCCACGTTATGTTTAATTATGATACGGTCCGCAGTATATATAGACACATTAAAAGCTAAGTATGTCTCCGTATACCAAGAAAAGTGTCAGGCGGTGCTCATCTCGAACCGGCGTTGGAAATTCCGCATTTAATTTGGCAGGGACTTGCCTCTCTGAGAGAGTAACTAATGTTGGTTTCCCACATAGGGGTGCTCAAGATGGTACGAAATTTCCCCACCACTGAGAAATATTTACTAAGTCGTGTATGTATATATGTATGGTTTGACTTCTTTCGCGCCAGTGCGTCGCCGACCGTGCCAATCGTAGGTGCGGGGGAAGGACAACAAAGTAAACAATTCTAAATAAATTAGTTTTCAATCTACCATGGTGTGAGCCTGTGCCTCACAGAAAGACACCGCAGTGTAAAGCGCTTGCTACCCTACCAAACTGAGCAACCTCAGTGCTTGCAGTGTATACACACATCGTAATCGTCATCATGAGCCGTGGCCAATAACCATCATGAGATAACTCCCTCTCAAAGCGGCCGCCACCTCCCGTAATTCCACTATGTAATAATATTCCACGAGCTGTGATTTCGTCCAGCCATCTCATCGGTGGGTATGCTCTTCGATGCTTTCCATCCGTTGTCTGCTATTCAAGTATTATTCTTGACCAGCAGCAACGTGTCATGCCCAAGCCCAATTACGTTTCTTAAGAGTTTTAATGATGTTTTTAGCCTTCGTATGTTTTGAAATACACGTGTTCCTCATTTTTTTCTTCTGTCAGTGTAATTTCAAATCTAAATATTTATTGAATATTATACATGGTAATGACGTATATAGAAAGGCTCGAAAAATGCTATTTGGTAAAGATAGTCTTTTCTGAACTATAACTATAATGTTATGAATTTGTACCTCCAAAATTACAACTCCATAACATTTGTAGATTCAAAAAGTTTTGTTTATAAACCGAGCTCGAGGAAAATATTCATCTGAATGTTTATAATTTTGCAGAATGAACTGGTTAATCATGTTTTATAATCCAAACGCGAACAATTCACATTTAGGGCCTTACAGAATTTCAGTATTTATTTATTTTCGAATTAAGTTTGTCAATAATTTAAACTATTCAGTACTTGAAATTTTGATTTCAAGCTTTCGTGACTGCAGGGATTCATATTCTTGGTTCTTTCGGTAAAGTCACGTAGAAGGGAAACAATAAAATAATAAAAATATAAAAAATAAAATTCTCATGACGTTTCGACTGCAACACAAGCAATCATCATCAGGTGTGAAATCACAGCAATTTGCTGTGGTTTTGCTGTGGTTTTGCTGTGGTTTTCACACCTGATGATGATTGCTTTTGTTGCAGTCGAAACGTCTTGAGAATTTTATTGTTTTATATTTTTATTATTTTATTGTTTCCCTTCTACGTGACTACCGAAAGAACCAAGAATATTCAGTACTTTATTTTTAAGTTAGTTGGGAAAGCCAATAGACAGCGTGCACAACCGACTCCAGTTTATTAATAGCTATATTAATAACTTAGTGAAATTACAACACCTTGCATTGCAGAATATGTATGAATTTGTAAATATATGGGTGAAATATTACAAAATATGCAAGCTACTGTGTGTGTGAGTTCAAATGCCGGGTGGGGTAGGTACCTGTTTGTACGGATGAGTTGGGAAAGGGTGTCTTAGCTGGAATCCTCATTAAGTGCAACTGTAACGAGAGATTATCGAGATCACATGATGCAGGTTCACTGTCCCTGTACACAGCTTATCTGTATACATTGCAGTACGATTGATCAGACCAAATCTATCCGCGACAATCGATGCCTCTATTCTGTCGTGTGGGACAAAGTGACTTGTATTCAGAACTCTCCTCAGCGATCAATGTGTCAGGGAACATCTCTGCAAAATGACAGCCATTCCAATGGCACTCCAGTAAGCCAGTCTTCTCTTGCACAGATAGTGCACCTTTTACCCTCTGCAAACATTGCCCATCACATAACGTTTTTTTCTTTTGTTTCAGAGCTGCAAAATGCCAACAAAATGTATTTGTTGACTGTGTTGAGAAGATCAGCTTGCTGCAATTGATAAGCTGGTTTAATCATGAGTGTTCAGAACCTGGATTGAAGCCCTGCTTCCCATCGTTGTTGTGCCATTGGGGATCCCCTGAGGCACGTAGCAACCGCACTTGAATTTGTGCCTGTCATCCCCAGCATTGAGTCCACCACACCCAGAAATGTGCAGATATAAACCGTGAAAGTGTTTTTTTATTGTATTTTAAATGTTGTTTTACTCACAAATGTATTCCTTTTGTGCTACTAGCATCATGTTATAAGATGAAACATCTATTCGGAAATCTTGCAGAGCAGTGCATCCAGTGTCGAAGAATGGCTGCACTTTTGAAAGCACTCTGCTATGAGATTGTTTCATGGAAGTTTAACGGGTATACATTTTTTTGTCAATGAAAAAATGGAATTTCGTCAAATGAATCAAAACAGCCAAATTGAACACGTCGGTTTGTTAGCAGTCATCGGTGACAAGGTGATCAGGTTGAGAACCCGGTTTTAAACGCAGTCTCACAGGTGCCAGCTCAGTGTTCTGACCTCTGAGCCAACTTATATTACATTTGTGTGTGTATACTGCTGCATAGGTTTTTGTGATTGTGCTGTGCACCTGCCCAGTGTGTTTTCGGGTTTGACCACGTGCTGTTCGTCATGATAGTGGACAAATAGGTCCAAATTTGCTGGGAGCTTCTTCCAAACACTAAATCGAAAGAGTCACCAGCACTTAGAGCAAAACGTTGGGCATCGTGCCGATCAAACAGGCAGCACGACTCGGAAGCGCACGGGATAGTTAAATGTGTGTGTGTTTAAAACTGTTTATGTAACCGCGCAGGCAAGGCCACTCAACGGGCTCAGGATCTATGGACAGCCGACTGTCGCGTACCTTCCCAGCAGCAGCAGCAACCACAGGGACCATGAAGCCCCAAGCCGTTGCTTTTCTGGTGGTCCCCTGCTGGGTAAGAAAATCACGCATTAGCCACCTGTGGGGGGGGGGGTGATAATTTTTGTGTTCATGTACGGCAGGCCGAGGAAGTCATTACTGAAAGACAGCCACAATTTTTCGTTGGGATTCTGCCGCGGTGTAACGGGCAGCACACTGGACTGGTAATCCAGAGGTCACCCTGTTGATTCTCCTGTCGTGGCAGGTGAAACAGTGGTCCAACTTTTTTTAAACCCCATGCCTCTGTCCACCCAGCAGTATAATTGAATACGAAACGGTGGGTTGGCAGTAAGACTGCGGTTGGGGTGAAGTGTGGGTACCTCTTACAAGATGTCTGACCAGTGTGGAAGAGTAGGCCAAATACCCCCAGGCCCTTGTGCCAGCAGCGGCTTGAGCAAGAACATTGCAGGGTTACACCTTTACCTTATGCCACTTTTCTATTTTTTCCCAATTATATTTTTCTATTGATTTATTTGGAGGAAATGGAATTTTCAGACAAAACTCATACATTCAAGTGAAAACGTCTGAAACTCCACACAGATAGTCTGATATAACCGACTTGCTCTGCTACCCTACCCTACAAGAGGGGGATACAGGCTGGACTGTCAAGGGCATGGCTCAGAGGGCAAGGGTCTGAGCAAGAGGCAATTGCTCCCACTGATAATTGCAGCTAAGTTCCTGTGAGTACCACTAGAGAGCATATTTTTGGTGTTGGTAAACAGGTCATAATTCAGCTGGTTGCAACACTCAACTCAAAGTTAAAAGTTCACAATTCAAAATCTTCTTCAGGGGCTGACTCAACTTCTAGATTTGAAGCTTTCGTGACTGCAAGGATCCATACTCTTTGGTTCTATTCGGTAAAGTCACCTATGTGACTTTACCGAATAGAACCAAAGAGTATCTGACTCAACTTGTCATCTCTTTGGGGGTGGGGTCCATAAATAAAAACCACCCTGTGCAAGGATACTAGTGGTTGTCTTTTCGATTGACTGGTCCACACCATGGAATAACGTATGAGCATCACTGAATTCTCAATTGTGCATTGGCACACCTTGAAATTTGTATATTGGTCTTTGTTATCCCAATATATAATGATTAATACATTTAAAAAGCGAGAACTCTGATGTCACGCTAACTCCGTAACGCTACCATTAATAATAATCATGAGCGGCACATTATTTTCGATTGAATACTTCAGATTTACTGCAATATATCCATCTTTGGAAGGGCTATAGGCTAGTATATATACAATATCTGAGGTTTCTTATCGTCACGATTACACAAATACTATGCTATGCTTGCACACTGGTTTAAAATGAACTGCCCCCCTGCTGTCCTCTGCCACCAGGGCCAGACCCAAGCCCCAGCACCTCCACGGACGGCTCCTCTCTGCCACGTCTGCCGGTGCCGCCTCTCAAGCAGACCCTGGAGCGCTACCTGCGTGTGCTGGAGCCGCTGGTGACGCCCGAGGAGCTGGAGTACACGCGCAAGTTGGTGGCCGAGCTCGCGCGGCCCGGGGGCCTTGGCGAGGTGCTGCAGTCCCGCCTGGAACGCAAGGGTCGCAAGACCGAGAACTGGGTACGAGCGTTGCGTCACTCGTCATGATTGTTGTACAGCCACAGCAAATTCTGCAGTTGTACGATTCCATCATGTTGTGCACCTGATAACAGTAAAATAAATCCGAAAAAATGTGTTCCCCCAAATGTATCCCGATTCAGCTGTCGCTGTCGGGTTGTGAGACGAACAATCTGTTTGGAGCTCTCCCAAGAGCAGTGTGACCAACCTGTGTTAGAGGACAGTCTGCAGAAGCAGCTATCACAGAGCTACTTTCTGAGATTCTTTCAAGTTACCTCTAGCTATGTACTGTGCGAAAGAAGTTCAACATACATACATATATGGTCAACAAAATGAGGGACAGCACTTTCCAAAATACCCTCGAAAGTGGCTTTTAAGTGCTCCCTCTGGTGAGGACGCAATAACAGTGCTGCACCTTTACCTTTATAATGAGAAACAGATGCTACAGAACCATTATCGAATTGTGTTCTTGTCAATGTCCCAACGTCCATCTGTCCAAGCAGAAGAGCCCCCAGCTGCCCCAGAAATCGAATTTTCCTCACGTGAAATCACTCTGTGTTGAGTTCACTAAACTTCAATGTCCTCAGACTTGGCTATGCTGTTATTGTTTTGGGTAAACACCCCGGTGGCCAGGATGAGATTTCGAAGCACGGATAGTTATGTTTATTACCTGCTCATGTGGCAAGAGATTGTTTATCATTTCATTTATGTTAAATACCTTCCAGTAAATCTTTCTGAAGTTGAATGTCAACCTCAAGAGGCCCTGAAATATAATCTTGCACACAGTTTATACGAGGTGTGAGTGTAACGATTCTACATATGCTTTCACGGTTGGAGGTACCAGCAGTGTCAAGATCGGCTTCTCTGGAGGAGGTTCGTGAAGGACGCGACTAGGGAGTAGAGGCAGTAGCCCTCCAGAAACAATGGAGGCCAGAGGAGTGACGCTCACAATAACGAGCAGAGCACCGGGCGGCTAAGATGCAGAAAGTTGACACAGTGGGGAACACAGTTGTAGCATCAGCCAGTCTTCTCAGTCAGTCAACCCATGGCACCTGGGTCTGTTCCGTGACCTCCTACCAGCAGGCTTTCAACACTTCACGTGGCCTCAAAATGCACTGAGCATGGCACAAGGGCCATGGTGAGGTCTCCGCCTCGTTGTGTTGAACGGTGGTTGTTGCTGCAAAGCTCTCCAATGCGTTTGTGGGTTCTACCGCATGTTGTTTTGCACGATGTTCGACAAAGCACATATGAAGAAAACGTCAGACATAACGTAAGACATGATGCCGAACAACACGTGGCACAACAATGCACCGATATTTTTTTATGAATATTGAATCTTAAGATCACGCTATATGTATTACATCTCAAGTGCAAGACGCAATGTTTTTCACTTAGTATATGTTGTTGGTAATGGTTTCACATTACTATTGCAGCCACTAGTAGCACAACAATTCCCCACAATATAAAAAGAGAACTGAGTCATGACTGAATCACAACAATGAATCATATTCCAACAGATGGCTTCACGATAAACTTAGGAATTCACTTTTGTATCCATGGTAGTGGAATCTACGGTAATAGAATTAATGGAATTACACCATAGAACATGGAACCTGAAAATCACAAAGTTTGAATATCGTTTTGGCTCATATATGGATTATAAATGCTGTCACATACCAACTTAATGTACATTACAGCCCATTTCATTGCTGCATCTAATTTGCCTGTATGCAAAACTGTACCATATACTCGACTGAAAGTAGCATGGAGAGACAGAAAAAAATAACACGTAGATTCAAGGACATAACGCGGGTTAATGACGTCTTTGAAACTGGGATGACAGCGAATGGCCAGGAATATTTATGGAGTTGCAGGCAAGTTATGGAGCTCATCCGAGAGTACTGAACCGACTCGCGTGCTGGTGCTACAGTGAGGGAAAAAAAGTATTTGATCCCCTGCTGATTTTGTACGTTTGCCCACTGACAAAGAAATGATCAGTCTATAATTTTAATGGTAGGTTTATTTGAACAGTGAGAGACAGAATAACAACAAAAATCCAGAAAAACGCATGTCAAAAATGTTATAAATTGATTTGCATTTTATTGAGGGAAATAAGTATTTGACCCCCTCTCAATCAGAAAGATTTCTGGCTCCCAGGTGTCTTTTATACAGGTAACGAGCTGAGATTAGGAGCACACTCTTAAAGGGAGTGCTCCTAATCTCAGCTTGTTACCTGTATAAAAGACACCTGTCCACAGAAGCAATCAATCAAACAGATTCCAAACTCTCCACCATGGCCAAGACCAAAGAGCTCTACTCTTTGGTTCTATTCGGTAAAGTCACGTAGGTAAAAAATAAAACAACAAAAATCACGACGTTTCGGCCACAACACAAGCGGCCTTCGTCAGGTGAAGGGACCAGGCTGTCTCGAGGACAGCGCTGGAGTGGAACACAGCCACGCTCAGACCGCGACCTTTAAGCTGTGTGCGAGGAAACAAGGTGCCTTGACAAAGGAATTAGCATAAAAATTAGCATTTGATTGGCCGACTTAGCATAGAGGTGGTGTACGTGCGGGTGCACATGCCGGTTGGCGTGGGGGGGGAAGGGGGAGTTTCCCTATTGATGGTGTGAAAAGGGAATTTAAGAGCTGCGAAAGTTTGGGGTACCACTACTTGAAAATTATACTGTACCATTGAAAATTAGTTTGATGTTTGGTTCGATTTAGAACATCTTTCCAATGGTTGCTTTATTTGAAACCATCCTCTCGGTTGAAATTGTGTCTGTGCTTGTAGATCTGAATTGCCTCCCCCTCCCCCCCCCCCGCGCCAACCGGCATGTGCACCCGCACGTACACCACCTCTATGCTAAGTCGGCCAATCAAATGCTAATTTTTATGCTAATTCCTTTGTCAAGGCACCTTGTTTCCTCTCACACAGCTTAAAGGTCGCGGTCTGAGCTTAGCTGTGTTCCACTCCAGCGCTGTCCTCGAGACAGCCTGATCCCTTCACCTGATGAAGGCCGCTTGTGTTGTGGCCGAAACGTCGTGATTTTTGTTGTTTTATTTTTTACCTACGTGACTTTACCGAATAGAATCTAAGAGTATGGATCCTTGCAGTCACGAAAGCTTTAAATCTAGAACCAAAGAGCTCTTCAAGGATGTCAGGGACAAGATTGTAGACCTACACAAGGCTGGAATGGGTTACAAGACCATTGCCAAGCAGCTTGGTGAGAAGGTGACAACAGTTGGTGCGATTATTCGCAAATGGAAAAAACACAAAAGAAGTGTCAATCTCCCTCGGCCTGGGGCTCCATGCAAGATCTCACCTCGTGGAGTTGCAATGATCATGAGAACGGTGAGGAATCAGCCCAGAACTACACGGGAGGATCTTGTCAATGATCTCAAGGCAGCTGGGACCATAGTCACCAAGAAAACAATTGGTAACACACTACGCCGTGAAGGACTGAAATCCTGCAGCGCCCGCAAGGTCCCCCTGCTCAAGAAAGCACATATACATGCCCGTCTGAAGTTTGCCAATGAACATCTGAATGATTCAGAGGACAACTGGGTGAAAGTGTTGTGGTCAGATGAGACCAAAATGGAGCTCTTTGGCATCAACTCAACTCGCCGTGTTTGGAGGAGGAGGAATGCTGCCTATGACCCCAAGAACACCATCCCCAAAGGCAAACATGGAGGTGGAAACATTATGCTTTGGGGGTGTTTTTCTGCAAAGGGGACAGGACAACTTCACCGCATCAAAGGGACGATGGACGGGGCCATGTACCGTCAAATCTTGGGTGAGAACCTCCTTCCCTCAGCCAGGGCATTGAAAATGGGTCGTGGATGGGTATTCCAGCATGACAATGACCCAAAACACACAGCCATGGCAACAAAGGAGTGGCTCAAGAAGCACATTAAGGTCCTGGAGTGGCCTAGCCAGTCTCCAGACCTTAATCCCATAGAAAATCTGTGGAGGGAGCTGAAGGTTCGAGTTGCCAAACGTCAGACTCGAAACCTTAATGACTTGGAGAAGATCTGCAAAGAGGAGTGGGACAAAATCCCTCCTGAGATGTGTGCAAACCTGGTGGCCAACTACAAGAAACGTCTGACCTCTGTGATTGCCAACAAGGGTTTTGCCACCAAGTACTAAGTCATGTTTTGCAGAGGGGTCAAATACTTATTTCCCTCATTAAAATGCAAATCATATAACATTTTTGACATGCGTTTTTCTGGCTTTTGTTGTTATTATGTCTCACTGTTCAAGTAAACCTACCATTAAAATTATAGACTGATCATTTCTTTGTCAGTGGGCAAACGTATAAAATCAGCAGGGGATCAAATACTTTTTTCCCTCACTGTATGTGGATTATCACACCGTGAGAGGTGGGGGTGGGGCTTGGCGAGGCCTTCATTGAGCAGTGGATTGTCCTTGGCCACATGCTGAGTGAACAATGCATGCGCCTGAAGTCACGTCAAGACAAATAAATAACATGTATGGCCAAAGTCAAGTGAGAGTGTCTCCCTGCTCACAATAGGTTTGATTCAATCGTGGAAATTCCACATTCCCATGATGGGAGCCATGCAGTAAATTAAGATGATCACCCGTTGACTTCTCACAAAGTGGCACTCCTTTTAAAGGAAGGGTAGACGGATTTTACGTTCACCGGAATTTGAACTCGAAACCTCCCGATTGCGGTTGGAGTGCTGTTACCGCTGTGCTCAAACTAGAGTATACCATAAGTGTGGCATGCCACCGCGTTATGATTGTTGCCAAAGCGACATTCAGAGACAGATTGATTTTCGTACTAAATCGCTTTACATTGTAATGAAATATGCACCATTATTAATGCGCACCATAGTTATAGCCAACTTAAATCCAACAAAACCTTTAATTTAAAAGCCACTTTTTAATTGGTGTCCTGCAAGAAACAGCAGAAACATGCGCTTATCATAGCTTCTGGGTATTTCACAAAGCTACTCATCATCATCATCATCAGCTATGGTCGATCTACCGCTGGATTAAAGGCCTTCCCAAGTTGCCGCCATCCCTCCAAAACCTGCGATGTAGTAATCCAGCTAGCACCTGCACACATGCCGATTCCATCCCTCCACCTCCTTGGTTATCATCCTCTTGCATGTGTTCCATTCCGTGGCTGCCACTCCCGATATTATTATAATTGATCACCGGTCATCATTTCACCTAGCAACGTGATGGGTCCTAAGCCAAACCTTTTTTTTCTCAAGAGTCTTAATGATGTCACTGACCTGCATATTTTCTCTAATCCATGTGTTCGTCTTTCCTTCTTGCAGTGTAATTTTAAGCAGGCATCTCTCTCCGTGCTTTTTTTGTGTACTTTTCAGTTTTTTTGTTCCCTTTTGTTATTGTTAATGGTCATAGTGGTACTCCCTGAGTTTAGTAGTTCGTTTTGTTGCACATTGATATATCATTTGTCATTTTAAAGTTCAACTCCAAAGGCATGCACCCCGATATGCTCTGTTACATTCACTCACTGATATATTAATATGGCAAGGTATATGCCTTTTAATTATATTCCTCTCACGAATATATACTTTGAACTTTGGAATAAATTCAGATTTAAATACCACATTAGCATGGAAAGTACATCACACTAATATAACTGTGAAATGCCCACCTACAGCCATAAATATACCCATTGACTATTGGAAACAAACCCGACCTGGTTCAGCCTAATCACATTGTGTGAATCTCCCTGTCCATAACTCCCTACAACTGCAAGTGCAGGCAGCTACAGTGAGGGAAAAAAAGTATTTGATCCCCTGCTGATTTTGTACGTTTGCCCACTGACAAAGAAATGATCAGTCTATAATTTTAATGGTAGGTTTATTTGCACAGTTAGAGACATAATAACAACAACAAAATCCGGAAAAACGCATGTCAAAAATGTTATAAATTGATTTGCACTTTAATGAGGGAAATAAGTATTTGACCCCCTCTCAATCGGAAAGATTTCTGGCTCCCAGGTGTCTTTTATACAGGTAACGAGCTGAGATTAGGAGCACTCTTAAAGGGAGTGCTCTTAATCTCTGCTTGTTACCTGTATAAAAGACACCTGTCCATAGAAGCAATCAATCAATCAGATTCCAAACTCTGCACCATGGCCAAGACCAAAGAGCTCTCCAAGGATGTCAGGGACAAGATTGTAGACCTACACAAGGCTGGAATGGGCTACAAGACCATTGCCAAGCAGCTTGGTGAGAAGGTGACAACAGTTGGTGCGATTATTCGCAAATGGAAGAAACACAATAGAACTGCCAATCTCCCTCGGCCTGGGGCTCCATGCAAGATCTCAACTCGTGGAGTTGCAATGATCATGAGAACGGTGTAGAATCAGCCCAGAACTACAAGTGAGGATCTTGTCAATGATCTCAAGGCAGCTGGAACCATAGTCACCAAGAAAACAATTGGTAACACACTACGTCGTGAAGGACTGAAATCCTGCAGCGCCCTCAAGGTCCCCCTGCTCAAGAAAGCACATATACATGCCGGTCTGAAGTATGCCAATGAACATCTGAATGATTCAGAGGACAACTGGGTGAAAGTGTTGTGGTCAGATGAGACCAAAATGGAGCTCTTTGGCATCAACTTAACTCGCCGTGTTTGGAGGAGGAGGAATGCTGCCTATGACCCCAAGAACACCATCCCCACCGTCAAACATGGAGGTGGAAACATTATGCTTTGGGGGTGTTTTTCTGCTAAGGGGACAGGACAACTTCACAGCGTCAAAGGGACGATGGAAAGGGTCATGTACCGTCAAATCTTTGGTGAGAACCTCCTTCCCTCAGCTAGGGCATTGAAAATGGGTCGTGGATGGGTATCCCAGCATGACAATGACCCAAAACACACGGCCAATGACCCAAAGCCAAGGCAACAAAGGAGTAGCTCAAGAAGAAGCACATTAAGGTCCTGGAGTGGCCTAGCCAGTCTCCAGACCTTAATCCCATAGAAAATCTGTGGAGGGAGCTGAAGGTTCGAGTTGCCAAATGTCAGCGTCAAAACCTTAATGACTTGGAGAAGATCTGCAAAGAGGAGTGGGACAAAATCCCTCCTGAGATGTGTGCAAACCTGGTGGCCAACTACAAGAAACGTCTGACCTCTGTGATTGCCAACAAGGGTTTTGCCACCAAGTACTAAGTCATGTTTTGCAGAGGGGTAAAATACTTATTTCCCTCATTAAATGCAAATCAATTCATAACATTTTTGACATGCGTTTTTCTGGATTCTTTTGTTGTTATTCTGTCTCTCACTGTTCAAATAAACCTACCATTAAAATTATAGACTGATCATTTCTTTGTCAGTGGGCAAACGTACAAAATCAGCAGGGGATCAAATACTTTTTTCCCTCACTGTACTGTGAGCTTTGCTCTCATGCCCATGTTTTACATTGGTTGTTTCCAAGCAGTGGAATCCGCTTGTGTTGCAACACACCCTGTTAATGCTCACACACTATTTTCATTGTCAAACCCACCCCGATCCCCCATCCCGCCCCCCCACCGATCTCACCCATTGAAGCTGTAAGTAAACAACTTGAGCACTTCACCTCTGATTATTGGAACGCTGTCTCTGTGTTCCAGTGCATGGTAATTATTCTAGATTAGAAGTTTTCGTGACTGCAAGGATCTATATTCTTTGGTTCTTTCGGTAAAGTCGCGTAGGTGAAAAAGTCAATTTAATCACGACGTTTCGATTGCAACACAAGCAATCATCATCAGGTGTGACAACCACAGCAAGAAATTGTTTTACTGAAGTGGGAGAGATGACTTATTTAACTGCCCTAACTCTGGCATCTCTCCCACTTCATTAAAAACAATTTCTTGCTGTGGTTGTCACACCTGATGATGATTGCTTGTGTTGCAATCGAAACGTCGTGATTCAATTTTTGTTATTTTTTTCACCTACGTGCCTTTACCGAAAGAACATGATAATTACGTTCAGGCACGCACAGAATTCATAAACAACAACTAAAGTGCTGTGTATGTTTGACCAGTGGTATGGAGCCCAGAGATGTTGCTTGTACCCTTGATCTACTTTTATGCAGCACGGATGTTTACAGAGCCTGATGCAAATAGCTGATAAGGACCTCACCCCAGATGAACTCAAGTTAGAATGAGCACCCTCTCCATACTTCAACTGGGCCCGGGAGCACAGATTGTTGTATTTTTTTGTTGTTGCTGTTGCGATGTGGCCCCGGCCGCGTGTGAAGAAATTGTGCACGTAAGCATTTTTTGTCGCTGCACGTTATAGAGTTTCAAAAGTGGATTATATAATGATTGTTATTTATTTCAGAGCCAAACTTTGCCAGTTGATTTGCAGGATCTTTACACAGGCGATGCTTGTCAAATGCATATTGGCATCTTTCAGTGGCCGCTATATTTTGAGATGCGGCAGGGTGGTACAGAGCATCGTTTGTGTTTCAGAGCAAGAAGCGCCTGGGTTTGATTCCTGACAGGGTTGCCTTTCTGTGTGCAGTTTGTACGTTCTCACCCTGTTGTTGTGCATGAGTGTCCTGAAGGTTCTTGGGTTTTCTCCCATACATGAAACAAAAAATAAAATATAACCAGCATTGGCAAAACCTCCCAATGCTGAAAGTATACCCACGAATGAATTTTGGATTATACATAATAACATGGCAGAACCCACCTAAAAATAGTTGAGAGTGTGGCTTTCTTGCGTAAACAAGTGTAAGAACAATAAAAATGTGTTGACATGAAAAAGCAATGAAGTCAATGAATTTAGACCCCACTGTGGTGCTCTTTTTTTAAAGCAGTCATTCTCGTGCAAGATAGCCTATCGCTTGGAAGTGCAGCTTAGGCTGGTGCTTGCTTCAACGTCAAAGCACGATGATTGTGTTACTGATTGCCATCGTTGTGTTGTCAGTTGTGCCCAGGTTATGAGTGCTCATGGGTGTGTGCGTGCGCCTGTGCTGGTTGCTATTTCAGCTGTTGGACTGGTGGGTTAACACGGCGTATCTGGAGTGCCGCACGCCTCTCGCCGTTTACTCCAGCCCTGGGGTTGTCATGCCCCGGCAGAATTTCCGCGACACTCAAGGACAGCTCAAGTGAGTCCTCACTGATGATTTTGTATGGCCAATGTACGGTAACCATTGGAGATTCCGTTCAAATTTCTTCATTGGAAGTTGCTGAATTGCAGATACACCACCCTGAAAATTATATTTAGGGCATCTCGAGGTTCTATGGTCCATTGTTTGTTGTTGGTAGCTGCAGATACACACAGGAGAGGGTTTTTTTTTCAAGTTCCACTTGTACACAATCGCCTCGTACACATCTTCCGATGTTTGTGTAGATCCGGTTAAGCGGTGCCCATTGTTTAAGTGAAAGATGGAAGCCGGGCAGTGTGGTGGTAGTGCGGTTGCTGAGGAGGTGTTTTTTTGGGCACGTTGCTAGAATCCCTTCAAGCAACATCGGACACCAGTGACAAGCCGGTGGTGGAGTTGAAGACAGGCAGGTGAAGGCATGGCCACATTAAGTTTAATGTGGGCCCTGAGTTGTTAACTTTTGAGGGTGCTTGGTTATTTCAGGTATAGTTTTTCAAGTGATATACGAATCGTAATTTTTAGTGTAATTAAAAATGAACAAAATTATTTTAATTTTTGCACATAACTGGTAAGTAACAAATAGTGATGCTATGGCTTCAATTACCAGGTGACCTATGGGATTTATCTTTGTGCAACAGTACTGCGATTCATCCATTAGAAAGCAGTCGAATGCCCCCACATTAAGCTGGCCCTGGCTGCAGGTCACTGTATTAACAACAAATGCATTCATCAGTCTACTGCTGGATGAAGCCGTCCCCACATAATACAACAGAAATGGTCGAATTGGTGTACAATTTTGATACCGACTAAACACATGAAGCCAATAGTGTGAGCCAAATTGTGCATTATTACATAAATAATCATGTCCTGCCTCTTTGTGAACCTACTGCTGGATGAAGGTATGTGAGTTGTTTGACCATACTTGTCCATGCTGGTCAGTGCGGGTTGGTGAAGGTGGCACCCAGGTCTGGTTTAGATATCACTCACCACTCATTTCGTCCATGGCTGGGTATTGAAATCAGGTCACCGGCTGCGCTACAAACCACTGCACCACCGCTCCTCAATGAAATTGTACACGGAGGAATACTTTTGGAAACATGGGCAGGAGGCATGTTTGCTTGAAGATGGGAAATGGAATCTAAATATACATTGCAATAACTGAGGTCTAATGGATAGGGTTCTTGCCTGCCAATGCAAGAGATCTCATTAGCAGCACATGCCGGTGGGGAAATTTTACTCCCTGTATATACTTACATTTCAACAAATATTGAATTGCAATATAAGATGGGGTTTTCTTTTAAATGAGTTAACAAAACCAGTATTGTTCTTAATTAGGTGCACGTTACAGCAGACGTATTATTGTGATATTTACAACAATGTGATTGTGTTACCACCATGAGCAGCCAACCTGATACCCGCTGCTGCGTGGTATCCATGAGATTAAAACAAAGACACAATGGCTCAGAAACGTCACAGTTTACCATGAAAATACAGGTACAATCCACTGCTGCATGAGGATCCCCCAACGCGTTGTGCAGGTTGTCATAGGGGGATACTTTACCACACGAATCAGTGCGGAATGGTGAAGGCAGGGAGTATTGATGCACGAACAAAATAGGGTATAACAATCGATGTTGCTGCACTCTCATTACAGTGTGCCATGTACAAAGTTAGGATATATATACTGGTCATACATGGGAAGTGTAGGCCAGGTGAAACAGGTGAGTCTTTAGCCCTGCAAGAGCTGATAGCACCATTTTTATGCATGGTGGTTTGCCCATCAAAACACTATCTCGGCTTAAAACACCTGCTTAGCTTTAGGGATCGGACGAGATTGCAATGCATTCGGGATGATTTTGTCAAAGGGGACATGACCTCAAAGTCGCCAGTTGAATATAACTTTGCAAGCAGCAGGAAAACATCAACGCTTCAGTAAAAACGCGTTAGAAATAATTTACGATTCAACACTTGCTGCTGACGTTTGAAATGCTCATGTGTGATGATACTCGCAATATATACCGATTCATTTTCACTCCGAAACCCAAGCCCCATGTTGCCAGCTACAAGCAATCACAGGAATCTGTGTGCCCCTCAGGGTGCCATCGTGTCGTGTCAAAACGCCTTCTCCGATTATCTTCATGGCGTCCACAATGTGCCATTACCCCCATGTGACGGGCAACATATAATCACATGTTGCCCGTCATGTAATAAGCGGTGATGAAATATTAAATTACAGGCGACATTACGAGCGGAATATAATTGGAAAATGTAAAAAGGTAAATATTGGTGAAAGGTGCAGCCGTGCAAAAGCTTCGCTCACGCTACTGCTGGCAGAAGGGCCTCCGCTAGAGGGAGCTCTAGAGGGTTATTTGGCCTACTCTTCCACACTGGCCATTCATTTTGGAAGAGGTAGGGGTATCCACACTTCACCCGACCACAGGCCCCCACTTGCCGATCGTATCACCGTGGTGTACCTATTTTTACTGCTGGGCGGGCAGAGGTGGGGGGGCGTGGACGATTGAATTGGTGAACTCTGATTTTCCAGTCCAGTGTGATGACTATTTCTCGACAGCAGCATCACCATGATAATATTTAAACACAAATCATGATGATGGGTCACTATACATTCACAGCATCAGACCATCGCAGTATTCACTTGAAGCGGCGACTCGTCCAGAGCGTTCGTTGAGTTATTATTAATCTCATTAGAATTGTAACATCCTAAATCGCCCTCTGTGTGACTACCATTCTGTTGCCTGTGTAACATTTACGACAAACACGCTTAAACCAGACAGAGCCTTGGGTAGCCATCAGGGCAACAGGAGATTGAAGGGGCACCCCTTAAATCGGTGACTTTTAGCGATTTGGTGGGAGCTCCACATTTTTATTGTAGGACCAAATTAACATCACGAAAACCACTGCTAATAACCTCAGACAGATGGTGAGCTGTCGTCCCTTGTCCAGGTTTGGAGCTCGCAACGTTCAGATTGTGAGTTGAGCAGTCGTGCCATGTGGTAATGATGATGATGATGATCATTAGCACTGCTCGATGAAGGCCTCCCCACATAATTGCCACTCATCATATTCTCGCGATGCCACAATCCATTCCGCTCCTGCATACAAGTTAAACTCATCGCTCCATCTCCGCGGGGGTCATCTTGGGCAAGCTCCCTCATGTGACTGCCATATCATCACCAATCTCCACTATTAGCCATCCACCCTTCAAGCAATGTCTCCTGCCCAAGCCCACTTATTTTGCATTTGTTCTGTTATCCACGTGTTCCAAACGCTTGTCAGTCCCTTCCCACATACCAAGCAGATATGAGACCAGAGTAACAGCGAACATCTCGGTGAAAACCTAACACTGAAGTTTCTGTTTTCCATTACAGGTTTGCAGCCAAGCTTATTTCTGGGGTACTGGACTTTAAGCAAATGCTGGACACGTAAGTCACATCCTATTACAAATCTCAGAGAGAGAGAGAATCTCTCTGCTATGCAGAAGTGCCTTTTCCCCAAAATGTCACCTATTTTATATATTTCTTTCCTTTCAGGGTCCAGGGTGTTATTGACAAATGTGTGAGCTTTTTTTGGTAAATATTTGTGGCTGTGCACCACTGCCAACGCAGCACCAAAAAATAGATGTGTATTATGATTATCACTTGTTTGTGTGAAATGCATATTAACGACCCGTTCTTGAGCTACAGTCTCTGTCTTCCGATTGCGGCCATGAAAAGCTGTTATTGTAGATTGCCGGATGCTCTTATGGCTGGGTTTGGATTAATTGAGACATCGCTTCTTTGTCATCACCTTCGGAAATAAAATGGCCAAAACGTCATCCGGTATGCTGTGGCTTTAGAGAGACGGCATTGATTATTTTTGGTAATGGAATATGACAGCACGGTACCACAAAGCCTGTACTACTTTATTAGCTTGCAGGACCTGTTCTGCAAACGGTTGCTTTCTAAGTGTTACATTTCCATGCAGTATATATCTGGCGTGTCCTTTATTTACCCATAAACGACATTGGCTGTCACAGTGTTAGGTGCAAGTGTCATGTGCAAGTCATGGCACGATTTGCTTATTGTGTAGGTATTGTTTGTAAACAGCGTCAAGAAAACCAGTTTGAAACAAGCTGTCAGATGCATTACTCTGACAATACGAATGCACAGTATGTGGTGTTCATTTGTGTTTGCTCAATGTATACAGCTGGGATTTCATATTTCAAAGAGACTGACCCATGTACGTAAAAAAATATAGTATCCTTTTGATTTATATCCTGCCATATGCATTTAGTGTAATTATTTGCTTTAAGTTTTTGTCTCTCTAATGTTATTTTGATTGGCATTCCATGTATTTGCTGTGGTTTACAATAACTATGAAATTATAATTGTTGTACTGTAACTGAAACTATTAAGCTTATCCTTATTTGACTCATGTCTCCGTTGAAAATGATATTTGAATACTTCGTTGGATCTTATGTTATTTAGGTTTCTTTTGGTACAGCTAAAATGGCTATAAAGGATGTATAATAGTATTGCACGTTATTATAATGTTATATGCATTTGTATTGCGGTACATTCTTTGTATAATTTGCAACAAATACTTCTGTGTTGGGCTCTCTGTATGAGTTTATTGACTACTGCGTTGACTTTATTGATATTGTTTTGAGCTCGTATCAGTTGAAACCAATGCCCAAATACAATCCAGAGCGACCCCTACTGACGTGGAGAGAGTATTTCAGCTGCTCAGCCCTGGCCATATATTTGAAACGAACGGGCATCTGCAAACATTTAATCATTTGAGTTATTTAAATTTTTACGCTTTATAACGAAAGTGTGAAGATGTTCAAAATGTAATCAAGTTTTAGTGTAAGGTGATCTTACTCTTAGGGATGTTTTGTTTTGCAAACCAACCATATTAATCAAACAACAGAAAAAGGACAGGCTGTAAATCTACAAAACACATTTGGTCTTGATAGCTACCCTTTGGCTTCCATATCGGTATTAAATATTTCTAAGGCCAATGGCAGGTTGGAAAGTGTTACAGAATCCATGCAAATGCATGATTTTGCTTGTTCCATATTTGTTTGTGGGTAAGGCCACGGAGTAATTTTTCCGTCAATTTTTTTTTGTCATTAACCCTCCACTCCCCGACAAGATTGCCACGTTTGCAAACACATTGTTCACACGTGCCAGTGTATCGATCAAAGTCTCTATCTAATTAAGTTTTTAAGACTTTTCACGACCGAATTCAACGCCTACACATGATGTTTCGCTCAAACTGCTTTGAGCACCACGAGTTGGTTCACCTGGCAATATTTGAACGATTTTGATCCCCTTGTTTTTGTATTCATTTCCCGCCCCCCCCCCCTCCCCTGACATCTGACGGCAGGAATAATCTGCCGCACGGCCACTTCCACGGCAAGCCGCTGTGCATGAACCAATACTACCAGATCTTCTCCTCGTGCCGTATCCCTGGCCCCCGGCGCGACACCATCGTCAACTACTCTCGGCAGAACAATCCGCCCACCCACATCACGGTCGCCCACAACTACACCGTAAGGAATGCCGCACGACTCCGCACGCCTATGCTCGCGCTCGACAGCTGCGTTGCACGATCGCTTCGGTCCCCTGAGAACGCCTCTCGACTGCGGTAACGCGGGGAGCGCCGCGGAAGCGAGATGTTAACTACCTCGCGTGGTATGCAGGAGGTCGTGAGTTCGATCCCGACCCTGACGCCTGTCTCTCGCCCCTGTGGTCGCGTGGATTTTTCTCCGCGTCCTCCGGTTTTTCCCTCTACATTTAGACTCAGCATGCGTTAAGAGTATTTGGCTGCTAGAAATTTCCGCATGATCAGCCGCTTCGATGAGCTATCATCTGTGGCCAGGTCGCTTCTGAAAAAGAGCTATGTAGCTCAGTGGGCCTTACCTGGTAACATAAAAAAATTGTTATATCGTTAATATTTTATAATAATACAAATCCTTGGTCACATCATGACCCTGTGGGATGCACAAAGCAAACAAACAGCTGCGTTGAGTTATCGGAACAGTTGCAGATGTATTTGTTTTAGGACATTGAAGTTATTGTGATTGAAAATAAATAAACAACGTGGCTGTGGAGGCCTGAGAACTCTATAAATAATAAATTGTGATTATCTGCAGAAGTGTGAACACTACTTCAGGAATGACAGCCTCAATATAAACAAATCAAAGTCGGGCAGCTAAACCCACAGATACAAATTCACATTGTATCATCACTACACTGCTCTTCTGGACATCTGTGAAACTACTGGACATGTGTTAAAAAGTGCTTCATAGATAGCTCATTGGATTTCTCCAGGATAAATGAAGACTGATTCTGAAATGTTCTGATTCGTGTTGTATATATTCGGTCTTGGAAAATTATTGATAATAATACAATTACACCTTCCTAATTAGCATAATGCATACTTGGCATAATTACATGAATTAGCATAACTTCGGGAAATTACACATTGTTCAATTGTCATTAAATTTGTATTATTTTTTTTATTAATTTTCCAAGACCGAATATATACAACATGCGTTCCTAATATCCACACATTTTCACAAATTATATACGAATCTGAGCAGAGAATGTTTGTTACGCACTCCTATTTGTGCCTTTTTTGTGCGTGTTTGAGATACTTTTTATATAGTAACACAACCCTGCTGTGACTTCCGTGCTTTGTTTAACAAATTTGATAATTCCACGACATCAGTTATCGGCAGCAACCTCGAGCCGACAAAGTGAGAAATGCACGTTAAATACATCACAGCATAGTCGACTCTCAAGCATCCGGGGTAATGGGGAGGAAGGGGTGCTCAGACAAAAAAACCAAAACACAGGTGAAGCAAAACGGACATAAAACTAAGCAAACAAGTGCAGGTTTCCCGAGCTTCCATGCGCTAGTAGATGCGTTGCGCAAAGCGAAACAGCACGAGATAGCTGCCTGCTGAGTAGCGCATACACCACAAACAGTACACAATGTTGTCCCACAAACGGCCGCATAGCCGGACGTAAGTGAATTTAAACCGTATAGCAAAGCTAATTTTTGGGTTGAAATCGGTGAGCCGCATATACGCCAAATCGCACAAAGCGAACCTGGATTAAGCTAGGGAAGCCTGTAACATGTATTCCTTCTCGATTTAAAGCTTTTGTGACTGCAGGGATCCATCTTCTTGGTTCTTTCGGTAAAGTCACGTAGAAGGGGAATAATAAAATAATGAAAATGAAACATAATAAAATAAAATTCTCACGACGTTTCGGCCACAACACAAGTAGCCTTCCTCAGGTGAAGAAACAGAACTGTCGGAAAGACAGCGCTCCAATGAACACTGCTAAGCTTGGCAGCAGTGTTCATTGGCAGTAAAGATGTGGAATGTGTGCCTGCTCCGCTTTTATTTTAAAATAACCACCTTGCTTAATGACGCGTTTGTGATCGTGTGGGCACCGTCATTGACCCTCGCTCATTGAAGGTTAGCCCATAACCCGGACAGTCTGCTCATGGATAGTCACGGCTTAACTCTACTCATCCCAAAGTTTTTTTTATTTTGAGATTCAAGACTGTTCAATAATTATCTTTTGTCCACGCTGTTTTTTTTCTTTCTGTTGTTGATGTCATAGTTCTTTAAGCTGGACGTTTACCACCCGAACGGAGAAATTCTCACACCTGGCGAGATCTACCAGCAGCTGGAAAAGATCTGGAACTCCTCCATCAAGACCACCAAGGAGCCGATTGGCATCTTGACAGCCGAACAACGGCACCGCTGGGGACTGGGCCTCAACATCTTGCTCAAGGGTGGGGAACCCACAAGCGGCAGCCTATAAGCACCCGTTTTGTGGAGAGTACTTGGTAATCCAAGCGGGGGTCAGGCTGAACCCTACCTTAGCATTCTGAGATCTGAAGAAACTACATGAGCAGAAAATCACCCCTCCTTGCCATGGCGTATATGTCCATCCACATTAATTATAAACGTATTGTTTTACAAATCCCATGAGCCAAATCGACTGTCTTCTGGGACTGTGTTATTTCAGTGTTGTTAATGGGATGTGTAACGAAAATAAAAAGTTATGCTTACATTTTTTTACATCGAGGGACAAATATAAGAAGGAGGTGTATTGTCTTCGCATGTATCTTGTTACTTGTATTCTCCACAACGATGGCTCATTATTATTTTGGCATGTGAAGAGATCGCCCATGTTCCAGGAGATTTTTGTCATGGGCATGTCCACTGTACAAGTAGAGGCACAGCCCTGCAATTGCTTGTTCATGTCACTAATGACAGAGGGGGCTTTGGAGAGCCTCCCTAGAGGGTAATTTTGTGGGAGCACCCACACTTTACCCCACTACCACACGCGACCTTCCGATCGACTATATCTGGTGTGTACCCATTTATGCTGCCGGGTAGACAAAGGTGGTGGTTTCTAATGCCGCACGGGGAAATAGGCATTTATCAGGTGACCAGTGTGCTAACCATTGTTCTACGGCAGCATACATCTATCCGTGTGTTTGTGCAACACGTGAGCGGCTGTGTAACAGCTGTGACGTTTCACCCGCAGACAAGCTGAACAAGGAGTCCTCGCGGGTCATCCAGAAGAGCATCTTCGCCGTCTGCCTGGACGGGCCCATGCGGTGCGAGTCCAACGAGTTGAGCATGAGCCAGATGGCCGCTCAGATCCTGCACGGCGGCGGCAGCAAGGCCAACACGGGCAACCGCTGGTTTGACAAGACGCTGCAGGTGAGGCGAGGGGGTCAGGTGGCTTGAAGGTCGCCAGTTGACTGCCTTCGCAAAAACACAAATCCTTCACCTTCACTTTGGTTAAAATAATAATCTCATCTTATGTAGATGCATATATCACTTTATTAAGATGATGACAGTGGTTGATATAAAGAGTGGGGTTTTTTAAAAGAGCGAGTTTATATATCGTTGAAGTTCGGAGCACAGGGTGGAATGGTTAAGGAGGGGTTGGAGGTAGGCGTATTAGGGGTTTCCGTAGTGATAGGGGTTGAGTTAGTGATTGGGGTTAGGGTAGTGATTAGGGTTGGGGTAGTGATAGGGTTTGGGGTAGTGATAGGAGTTGGGGTAGTGATAGGGGTTGGAGTAGGTGTTGGTATAGTGATTGGGGTAGTGATAGGGCTCGGGGCAGTGATAGCAGTTGGGGTAGTAATAGGGGGTTGGGGTAGTGATAGGGGTCGTGAGAGGGGTAGGGGTAGTGATAGTGGTAGAGGTTGTGATTGGTTTTGCTGTAGTGATAGGCATAGGCCTGGTTGTAGCTGGGGGGCAGGGAATAGCAGCAGTAGGATGGGCAAGAGGACGAGAGATGGCGGTTTTTAAGGGAGGAACGGAAGCTGGTTCATGAGGATGATTGTTTTATGTTCAGTGGGAGTTTATTCCAGTGAACTAACTATAATAATAGGCAGTGTTCCGGGCAATGGGACCCTCTGTATAGCACATAAATTACATTCTGGGAGCTTATTCAGCTTCTTTAATTTTTTAGCAAGCTCCCAGCACGTGGAGAGAAACGTTGGACATAATGCCGAGTGAGGGAATTTTGTTAATCATGCCTGGGCACCACTGTCAATGCACCGTCAGCAAAAGAATGTGTCGACCCCTTGATTGTAAACCTGGTGTTTGATTGTCATTGTTTAACTGCGCACGACAGTTCATCATCGGCGAGGATGGGACGTGTGGCCTGGTGTACGAGAGAGCGCTCGCTGAAGGAGTGCCGATCATGCGGATAGCCGACCACGCGATGGATTACTGGTAACAGCTCGGTCTTTAACACAGCATCTGCAAGCACGGTGAACATTCCTTATCACAGCTGTCATCACTTCGATCGGTTTATATCCCTATAAGATCATCGTCTTCATCATTATCAACGTCGTCGTTTTTGTACTTGTCATTTAGATTGAATATTTATCTGCATAGTCATCGCTGTTATTAACCCCTGTAATCAACATCATCATCTTTGTGCTAATCATTGAAATTGTATACTTATTGGCACTTCCATTGCCAAAATCACCACCTGTCATAGTCATTATCATCCTGGAAATTGAACACTTCACCCTGGTGTCACGGCATGGGGGAGGCCTTCATCCATCAGTAGGTTAACAAAAGGATGAAAATGGTAAAATAGCAAGTAAGCTTTTTTATATACATATATATCCTTTTCACAAGAATTAATGATAATATTCCAAATTTTCCTTTGGACTGCCAAAGTTACTGATACATATCAGATGACAGGTCCTGGCTTGAGCTTCATGGTGCACGTTTGACTTGTTTTTCGTTCCAGCAACAAGAAGGAGTTTGTCAAGTGCATGTCTAAAAAGCATCTCCCCATACCCACCAAACTTTACTTCAACATCAACGAAGAGGTGAAGCGCATGATCGAGTCTGCCAAGTTCCACCATGACATGTGAGTGCACGGAGATATTATTTCTGGCGTGTTATAAATGCACTGAAGCTCATGGTAGAACCCTAACCAGCGTCACTGAAAATCTGCTTCTGATACCGAGGTCTCGAACTGTTACAGCCTCACGTCCGTATACACTACTATAAACTACACTATACACTACTACACACTACACTACTATACACTACACCACCATACACTACACTACTATACACTACACTATACACTACTTGTCTGCAAAATCTGCCGCGTTATTATTTTGTATTTTTTGAGGAGGGGTCGACCATACTTCACCACGCCGGCTTGCGTGGGTTTGGCGAAGGGAACGCATTCTGTTCTCACCTTTCGCCGAGTGCCTTGCCTGCCTGCTGTTGGGTTGCCCTGTCCCAGTATCGCTACTCGGGTCTACAAGGCCTTTAAAAGTCTCTTAAACCTGGGCAAAAAAGTGAATCTTTGAAGAGGTGGATCATTCTAGGTTCTAAAAAGAAGTACTTTAATGCTTAGAGCAATAATTTTGTAGCGTTGTGCCTTGCTTTGGTTTTCATGACATTCGTTCGTGTAGGCATCACGATAAAACATTACATTTTTTACAAAGAGAATATGAATCCCTGCAGTCACGAAAGCTTTAAATCAAAAGAGAAAATTGTTAAACTACTTTGTATGTATTCACTATTGTGCTGTACAGCTCTGCGATGTGTTTGCGGGTTGTACCGTGTGTTGTTTGGCACGATGTCTGACGATTCACTGCACGTGCTGGGAGCTTCTTAAGGAACTGAAGAAGCCGAAGAAGCTCTGAGCACATGGAGTGAATCGTCAAACATTGTGGCAAACAACACGCGGTGTATCCCGAAGATACATCGGAAAGTGAAATCTTTAGGCTTGCATGAGATGGTGACACAAAGTTTGTGTACGAATCTCCACGACTAGTGTCTAATTCTTTCGAACGCAACCGTAGTTAATAATCTCACGACCCACAATTATGAAGTTTACTAATAAATGACTACGTTAAGTTTAAATGCTATTGCTCGGCCTTTTAACCAACTCTCCCTTTCCTTTCCTTCACAGCCAAGTCGGAGACCTCGACATTCAGTGCTTTGTCTACAAAAAGTTTGGCAACGCATTTCCCAAGTTCCACCGCCTCAGCCCTGACGGCTTTATCCAGATGGCCATACAGCTTGCCTACTTCAGGTGCTGACCTCAAGATAACACATGTGCGTAGATGCATATAGGCTGGCACGAGCGCGGTGGCAACGCCACCGCCACTTCGTGGCTATTGGCGGCTCTTGCTATTGTTCGTGTGGTTAGTGCGCTGTGCTATGATCCTGATGACCTCGGCTCTATTTTCAGCGAACTAACACCGTCGAAGCGCGATATCTGAACCAGTCGCTGGCTCTCCCCCCGGACGCCTCAGCCTCAAACAAATCCCCCGCCTCATCCAACAGGCTGCACAGGGAGCTGAGCGTGGCTACAGAGAGCGCCACCACGCGCATGTTCCACCTGGGGCGCACCGAAGAGATCCGCTGCACCTCCATGGAGTCGCTGCGCTTTGTGGAGACTTTCGATGATGCCAACGTGTCGGTACGGGCACCAGCTGCCAATCTGCCATTCAACAGTTGCCTTCCGTTTAGCTCGCAGCCCGTCAGAGATACACGGCCTGCTGAGAGAGGTTTATTTCTCAGCAGCGTCGGTTTAATACAAGCAAATTCTGTCCCTGATTCAACATTTAGTGTCTCATTAGCAGTCAGGCTTGCTGAACCCAATGCAGATATGGGTAGTATAGCCCACTTGCTATTTTGTTAGTTATATTCTCCAAACCCGATGCAAATTATTAATTTGTATGCTCTATCTAGTGTCATCCTTATAACTCATGGTCAATGTGTGATGTACTGTATATAGCTTCATTTGTAAGGTGTCTTGGCTTAGTTATTTTTTTAGAAAGGCATATTAATGCGATTGATCATATTTGTTGATATTTTTTTTTTTACTCTTGTAAATATGAAGCGAACATTTTCCTTTTCTGAATAGAACGAAGAAAAGATGCAGACGATGAAAGTGGCTGTAGAGGCGCACAAGGAATACACGCAGTGGGTGAGTGCCATTCGGTGAGGGGTAAAGGTGAAGCCCTTGCGATTCCTTTGCTCGCACCACTTGGTGGAAGCGCCTCCACGAGAGGGAGCTCCATTTGTCACACTTTCAATCTGACCAGACTTCATGGAAGAGATGGAAGTTCCCGAACACTTCACCCCACCACGTGCGACCTGCCGATTGACTTCACTGTGGCGGCGCACACCCATTCATGCCGCTGGGTGGACAGAGGCAGCGGCGGCGGCGGCGACGGCGGCGATGATGATTTAAGAAACCAGTTGCGTCATTTCAACTGCCGCTGCAGCCGCCGGCCAGGAGAACAAACCAGGCCGGCGACTTGCGGGTTTCGCAAGTCCCCAGTGCGCTGACCGTTCACACCACGGCGACATGAAGTGGCTACGGCTGCAGAAAATGTTTAAATAGATTGGGCTTGGCAGCGTTATAAACGGACTTTTTGATGAGCTATGAGTTTAAACTTGGCCACACTGTGCCACACAACAATGATTGCCACACTTGTGCACTTGCCACAGTTGTTTTTAGGCACTTTTGAATGCAAAGTATGGGCGTAAAAATACAATTGCATGACTAATTATGGCGTGTCATGTTTGGCCAGCATACCCTTTCGAGAGGCCGAAATACCCTTTAGAGTGTTCCCCCAAGTGGAGGCCCTTCTGTCAGCAGTGGTGTGAGCAAAAAATTTTACTGAAAGCTATAAAATTAAATTATTTTTCCAGGTAAGGCCCACTGAGCTATATAGCTCTTTTTTCAAGAAGCGACCTGGCCACAAATGATAGCGCAACGAAGTGGCTTATCGCGTGGAAATTTATAGCAGCCAAATACTCTAAACGCGTGTTTACAAATGGGGAGAGAAAAACCAGAGGACCCGGAGAAAAATCCCCGTGACTTCGTGGAGAACATGCAAACTCCAAATATACAGGCATCAGGGTCGGGATCGAATCTACGACCTCCTAGTAGAGCTGCACCTTTACCTTTCATGCTGCCGTTGTGTCTATGACCAACTTATCTTCAATGTGCCTGATCTTATTAGATCTTAGACCTTGGAAGGTGTGCAAGGTTGAGCCTGGATAGTGCTTGGGTGGGCAATTCTCATGCATAAACAGATGTTATAGGCTGCTGCTTCTTCATTGTGGGCAGCAGAGGGAGTACAGTAAAGTATTTGGTTATACTGTACCACATCCCTCTGAATATGCAGTGACCAGCGTATTGAAGTATGGGTAAATAATGGCCACATTCTGCACAGAATGGGAAGGTCCCCTTATCCGGCAGTGGATTGACAAAAGGCCGTACATGTATATATGAATGTAAATACATTTTATGTTCAAATAGTATGATATTAAAACACAATGTACTACATATAAAAAAAGATAATTACGGAATGCACATGAACATGTTTCTGTATAATATAAGACAGATCTTAACAGTTGTCAATGCCAAAGATGTTCACCATCAATCTTAATAAGTAAACGCATTTTAGCTTATGTTTTAAAGGCATTCAAGGAGTTGGATTGTTGGAAAAGGAGAAGCATTCATGTTTCTCATCTCATGTAAAGACATACCCATTGGGCATGGAGATACTGAACAATTCCTGAACAGTGTCCTCTCATAGACGTATGGGTGAGTAGTAGAGAACAGAGGGCTCTGTGCAATATAGGCATAAATTATAAAGATAGTCATGAGTCAATTTTGTTTTGGCATTCTTATAGTTGGAAAGGTTAGGTGCATGTGCAAATAATGTCTGTGTTTTGGTTCAGTCAGGGACATAACTAGGTGGAGTGAAGGGAGGGAACCAAGCTGTAGATGAGCGGCAAGGGGATTCCAGAAACGGAGTGATGTTGATAGTGGTTTTTACCTAACTATGTATTTTTCAAGTAATTTTCAAACTTTGTTACATTTGATCGTTTTGCCAGCACACATGGCTCAGTCTTTGTTGAGTAACATCACGGGATCTTCAGCTCACCTCTGTGAAGTGGAAGGCGCGTGCTAGCCACACCACAGCGAGACTTCTGCAAACAAATTGCGCCATCGATGCTTGGCCATGTCACTTTGAGCAAGTCCGTTGGGCTTTGTGGTTTTCAGAGTGCGAAACGCAGGGATTTGTTTTGTTCTCTACCAGGCCGTCAATGGGCAGGCCATCGACAGGCACCTGCTTGGCCTGAAGTTGCAGGCGATTGAGGATCAGTACAACATCCCAGAGCTGTTTATGGACACGTCCTATGCCATTGCCAGCCACCTCAAGCTATCCACGAGCCAGGCAAGCCACACATCACGATGCGTCAGTGTTCCTGACTTCATAAAAGTGTACGAGTTGCAATTGATTGAAGGGCATTACTGAACGATGAAGGGTATTGTGTTTTTTTACGAAGGTCATATGGAGGAGTCATGGATTTTGATGTGGGTTTTCCACAAGCATCGCACAAAGCAAACAGGTTTTCAACTGGAACAAATTAATATGCATATTTAAACATCATAAGAGAAAACAGGTAAAAAAAAATATGATAGAAAAGAAACCGGAGGCATTAATAAAAAAACACACAGGTTATGAACAAAGATTCTAAATACGCCTAAAATGAAATTCGAAATAAATAAAGAAATTTTTTACAAAATGTACTGTGCTATGAATCCGGCGAACAGAGTTTAATTCCTTTCTATGGCAAACGTCAGTGATGAGTGATATCTGAACCTGTCCAAGCCACCCTCACCCCCCCCCGCCAACTCTTCAACCCACATAGACCGGTTTGGAGAAGTATGCTCAAACAACCGCACGCTGCGTGCGCCGAGTTCTACATCCAGGGAGCGGATTGACAACGGGCAGTCGAGTGGAGTTAATTGTCACGCGGCACAACGTACGTAACCTCCCGTTTCTTTACCCGCCCGTTGCACCGTTTGCATCGTCGCCACCCGTTGGCTCGGCAGGTCCCTGGCAGCATGGACGCGGTGATGTGCTATGGTCCCGTGGTGCCCGACGGCTACGGCGTGTGCTACAACCCGCAGCACGACCGCCTCAACTTCTCCGTCACGGCGCTCAACAGCTGCTCGCAGACGCACGCCGACCTGATGGCCGCCGAGATCGAGAAGGCTCTCACGGACATGCACGAGCTGCTGAGCTCGCGCTCCGGGGACTCGCCCTGGGAGCAGGCCCAGTGGTGAAGGCACGCGGAGGGCACAGCGGGGCACAGCGGAGCAGAAGGCCTTCGAAAGTAAACTAACTAAACTATTTTTAAATTTTGATTTAAAGCTTTCGTGACTGCAGGGATTCATATTCTTGGTTCTTTCGGTAAAGTCACGTAGAAGGGACTTTACCGAAAGAACCAAGAATATAAACTATTTTTAGTTTAACACGTAGGCTTACTGGGTAAGGCTCACTGAGCTATATAGCTCTTTTTCAGAAGGGGCCTGTGGCCACAGATAATAGTCCAACAAAGTGGCTTATCACGTGGAAATTTATAGCAGCCAAATACCCTTAACGCATATTGATGCTAAACTGGGAAGGGAAAAACCAGAGGGCCCGGAGAAAAATCCACATGACCACGGGGAGAACATGTAAATTCCAAATATACAGGCGTCCAGGTTGGGATAAAACCCGCAACCTCCTGTATACCAGGTGAGATAGTTAACATCTCGTCACTGTGACGCCCATAAACCAAAGGTAAAAATGGCACGCGAGGTGGCTGGGTGGCTCAGAGTGGCGACGTGTCAGCGCGCCTAACTGCTGCTGCTGCTGGGAATCCAGTTTCCACTGTGGGATTCACCCACATGTGATTAAAACAAGTATCTCAAGTAGGGTTACCACCCGTCCAATCCGGGTTTTCCCAGGAAGGTACCTCTCTTTTGATGTAGCCGTCCTGGGAAATCTGTTAAGTGTCTCTGAGACGTTCGGTTTTGTCTATTGCGATAATACACCACTCAAACAACGTATTTATACGTGGTTATCCATGTATTCTGGTATCGTGAAATATTATGTTTTTCATGATATAGCCTGGTTGTTAATTTTGTGGCAAACCCTACTTGCAAACCAGGGCTCTCCAATTTTATACAATATCCGTACAATTGAGGCATTTGCATTTAAATCCGATCATGGCATTTGGCAATCCTCACTAATGTATTAAATTATAATATATTATTATTATTATTAGAAATGTCTTAGCCTTCTAGGTAGTTGGTTTTAAAATATCAATCGTAATTAATCTAAGGCAGGATGTCGATGCTACTCAACCTGTGTGCCAACCTTTGTCCTTCAGTGTTATCTACGCAGGGGAGTGGGAGTGTTGCGGTTAGCGCACTATGCCACAAACTTGCGAAACCCGAGTTCGATTCCTGCTCACGGCCAACACCAGTGACGTTTATTTGAATCGGTCCTGGGCCTCCCCTAGGTCGACTCAGCCCCAAATAATTACCCGGTGTGATGTGTAAACATCGCCACTGGGGAGACAAAAGCGGCTGGGCGTGGTGCTGGCCACCCACCCCCTCGTGTGCTGTGCCGGCCCTCATAGGTGCTCGCTAACAGCACTTGCCCCGACAGTCTGTTAAGGCTACACGGGGGACCTTTGTCTGCGCTGAAACTGTGAAAGTAAAATTAGTAAACATAAGGAACCGTTCCCCGAAGTCATGGTGCTACAAAGTTTGGGCCTTGCTAAATTTTGAATTGGCAAACCAAACGCCCTGCGGATTGAGTTATAACTAAAAAAGTTTGGAAAACATGACACCCAAGTGCAGTGAATGGTTATGTTTTTATGAATTTAAATTGACAAATTGAGAGAAATGCAGGTGTTTTCAGGGGCCTTAGTGTGACATTAAATGCAAATGAGGCTTATTTTGGCTATAAGGTTGCCATTTCAAACCATCTCACTGATCCCTCGCACGTAATATTCCTACTGAGGACCGACGCATTATTTTGGAATGAACGTCAGATTAGGCTCCTCTGTGTGCACTGCTGTTTAGTGATCCTTCAAAGCTGAATCGCATAGCACAATGATTTTAATGCAAGATGTCCACATAGCAGATAGTGTGGTATAGCTAGCACCATGAATGGGAATATGTTAACAACGCCCAGGAGATGTCTAGTTTGACTTAAATATCACATTACGCCAGACCAAGTTGCAAGTGTCTCCTTGCGCAGATGGTCGCTGGGGTGGCAGAAGTCAGTGGTGGCACTAGGCATTAGCAAACCAAGCAAATGCTTATGAGCCCAAGTAGCTCAAGGGACCCCAGGTTCTTGAATAGTATAGAGCTGCATCAACTATCAGCTGAAATTCAGATGCGAATAAGCAAGCTATTTAACGTACACAAAGAAAATTAATGTCATCTTTATCTTGTCCGAATCTTATCACTGCATCTACATTTGTCAACATATCTCTTATCTCACAACAACTCCACAAACTCCCTCCCTGAAGCTCTTTCGTGGCGAGAAGATGTTGAACTTGGTATTTAGATCCTCAACATATTGCCATATGCAAGAGGAGGATTTATCAAGTATAAATATCTGTTCTGTCATCTCGCTAGGACATGACACATTGAAACTGAGCCCCCCCCTCCAAAAAATGTACTTCTATTTAAGCCTCCCAATGGGGTAGCACCACCACCACTGGCATTAGTTGTCCATTGGCAGCACTGAGCGAATAGTTGGAAAGCTATTGAATTCCAACAGAGTGGTACTCATATTATTGACCTTGTTATAGAGATGATGGGTTGAGCCAACACCCAACCTGGAATTTAACTCCTGATTGTGAGTGAAGAGCTCTACAGCAGTGCCACCATCATCGTGAAACAATCAGTGTGCACAAACATCCTGTCATCTCTTACTGTGGTAATTTTATTTTAACTCAGGAATGTTTTATTGTTAAGTAGATGTTTATTTTAAATAGTTTTAATGCATTAGTGTGTTCACTGCAAAAGTTCCGTTTTAACTTTTCATGTGGCATTTTGTTAAATGTGTATTTCATTTAATATATGCTCAGTTTGCATCTACCATGATACCTTTATTTAACTTTAAAATGTGTTGTTTGTCGTTATGGAGTATTTAAAAGTTTTATTGTACCGCATATATAATGTATTTTTGCGAAGCTTGTTTTAGCATTTCCTTCAACGTGTTGGGCATTTTAAAACTTGTAGTTGCACTGTTAGCACCAGACTTCTGTGTGTTTTGCTTCATCTATGACAGCCACTTATTAAGATATATTTTACGACTGCATAGGTTTTCGCGATTGTGCTCTCCGATGTATGTTCGGGTCGCACCGCATATTATTCAGCATGATGTCCGACGTTTCACGAGACGTGCTGAGGAGCTTCTTCAGCACGGGGAGCAAAATGTCAGACATACCGAAAAGAACGCAATACAAGCTGAAACACATCGGAGAATCTGACACATTTTACATTGCAATGTGGCATTTCATTTGTGTGCAAAAAAGGAAAATTGTACTTAACTTTCAACTTATCCAACAGGGTGCCAGTTTAATGTACGTAAAAGCTTCATTGTCATCACTATCATCTTAATCACAAAGCTTTATAGACTCTTTTTGGCACGTTTCGCTTGAATGGCTTTGAAGTGAATGTGAAGCAATCTGCACCAACAACCTCTGTAATACGTGAAGTGAAGTGTGAGTGATTTGTTCCAAATCTATCTGCTGCTCCACCAGGTAGTGTATTTGCTCCCACGCAAAACCAGCAGCTTCCGTGTACTGTGTGCACCTCTGCATGCTTGTAGTTCTCAACTGCAGCCACATTTAACAAATGAAACGTAAACAACAAAGGGGGCAACAGCGCTCGTAACAACAGCTGGCATATTAGTCCATGAGCCCAGAGCAAATACATCACTCGTTGGTACCCACCGATTATGGGGTGGCTTTCGTGGTTTAAATTTCTTGATGCGGCCAATAACAGCGAATTATGTGATATCCATTTGTAATGAGTGGGTTGCCGGGTAGTTGGCTCGTATTATCCACGTTAATAAATTGGCATGGTTAAAGTTTAGCTTCCCTCGGTGGCGGTACCAATTTCAGCTCATGCCCATGGACTATATTTCAGAATTCAACTCTAGTGGTAGTGTGTGTGATTAGATTGTGTTCGTGTGATATCCATGTGATATCCATTTGTAATGAGTGGGTTGCCGGGTAGTTGGCTCGTATTATCCACGTTAATAAATTGGCATGGTTAAAGTTTAGCTTCCCTCGGTGACGGTACCAATTTCAGCTCATGCCCATGGACTATATTTCAGAATTCAACTCTAGTGGTAGTGTGTGTGATTAGATTGTGTTCGTGGTAGGTGATATTGTTGAGAGATAACATTTAGACAAGGTGGCACCTAAATGTTGACAATATAGATTGTCTTGCTTTATGGCGGGAACTAAATATTATATTGACAGTTGAGCACTTATGGATTATGTAAGGCCTTTTGATTAAAATGTAGAGTACTTTTGATGAATGTTCACTTTACACTTAATATAATATATTTAATATAATGCACATGGCCAGAGTGGCATAAATAAGATATTTCAGGGCTGCATCTCCATCTATATACTCACACATATTACACGGATAGTTGACATGGTTTCCATGGATCAGAGAAGTAATATGCAATGGATGTGTACAGGAGTGTGTTTTTGATATGACAAAATCCATTTGAGTTGGACAAAATTATTGAAGACATCTTAAGAACCCTATTATTTCATTTCTTGGTATGAAACAAATATAGATACTTCCTTAAATTAAATGAAAAGTTAAAGCATATAAATGTATTTTAAGAGTTAAGTATTAATATGTACTGTATGTGTTGCAAACGTAAACCAAATATGTCTAATATATTGTAACATGGCTGAATTATATGTGTACGTGTGTATCTATGGTGTTTGCATTGTTCATGAATGGTATTTAATAAATGAAACAGAAATATAGGATGAGGAAAATGCACCTGCATTTTGGTTTAAAGATTAAAGCATTTCCTGGCAACGTAACAAGACCTATTCTTTGTTACCCTTTTGAAATGTCTCATTACAAACCTATTATCAGTCACTATTGGCCACTGCGAATTACCATTTGCCGATTGCCTCCTTAATGTTAGCATTGCCGCAAGTGAAGCTTCACTCGCGGCCGAGCCATTTCCGAGCTTATTCTTTCGAGAGAACTGACAGATTTGGTCTGACATGCCTCGGTGTGCACACGCGAGAAGCAAGGCTTCTCAAATTAATTGCCTAAAATTTAAATCATGCCAAAAATGATTTTGAAGACCGAACAATGTTTAGATTTAACGTTTGCGTAAACAGGTTGATAACTGTGCGCCTAATGATTTAATGACGTTATGCTCTTACGGTGAAATAAATGTTTAAATGTGTTTCATCTACATTATTCTGCAGCAAGACATTCTTTTGATTTGTTTTACAATTGCAATGCTTGAATTTTCTTATATATGCTGCAATGGGTTTCAAGTGACTGCTGCCGTCGCTGGAGGCCGCTGCATTGACTACAGTGTTAAGCAAAATAACCGATTTAATTAATTTCTGACCCCCGAA